GAGAGAGAGAGAGAGAGAGAGAAAGAGAAAGAGAAAGAGAGAGAGAAGAAGAAAAAAGAAAGAAAGAAAGAAAGAAAGAAAGAAAGTACGCACGCCGTACCTGTGATTCTTCCACGCTCTTACATCGGTACAATAGAAAGAAGTGTTTTGTCGTAGGGAACCTTTTCAGTGGGCGGTACCCGGTAGCTCCGTGCGGACGAGGCTCGCTGATGGCGTGTCCACATGAGTGGCTGACAGGGAGGTGACACAGTGCTGCCCTGCGCTGACAGAACACCTTTTTCTTATTCACAGCAGTTTCGAGAAATCTAAGGATTTTTCGGTTTTCCTACTATAATATCTGCTGTTGAGCATAGGGAGGGAATGACATTCTCTTCAGTTTGAGACCAACCAATGATGTACAGTGAACAATATTTTTTTAGATATCATAAGAAAACCGAAAATCGTTGATTTCTCGAAATTGCTGTGAATAAGGAAAGGGCGTTTCTTCAGCGTACGACAGTACGGGCCTTGATGGGTGACTAAACAGCTCATCACAACACACGTCACGGCGGTGCCCTGACCACTGAACTGGACACAACACTGACCTTCCTGTCACGGGCGGTTCTGGGCGAGTTAGTGTATGTGTAATGAGGTGTGTGCTCCTCCTGATTTATTTATTTCTTTTCTAAATATAGGTGATTTTACGCCCCCGTCGACACAGTTTAGATTATTTAGGAGGTTGGCTTCGACCCTGCCTGTCAGGGCCTACCCGGGGGAACAAAAACACAACCGCCCAGCAGAAAGACCGAATAAATGTTGGCGTTTTTACGCCTCGCTCGACACGATTTAGATCATTCAAGAGGTTGGCTTACTTAAACTCTGCCTGTTGGGACCTACCTACCCACACTGAGAGGGATACAACGACCCAGCAGAAAGACTGCGAGATACTCGATGAAAATTCTGCTGTCACGGGAAATGGAACTGCCGCCCCCGGCGTCCGACGTCGGGCGAGCGCCTAACCCGCTACACCACAATCGCCGGTGTGGTCTTCCTGGAATACAAAGTTGTAGTTTCCTAAAGTCTTTCGGTATTTCAATCATATTTTGTCAGTCTGTGTTCTGATATTCAATGTATTGTGTTCGGGCTGCTCGGGCAGCACACCATCGAAAAGAGAATATATCCAACACACATCGCCAAAATACCCCTTCTTGTGAGCCCCACATTGGAAACTTACTTTAAAACCTACTTCGCACTTTCGGGGTCTACACTCTCTTTAGGTCCACATTTGAGTCACGTCATTCGAACCCCCCTCCCCCCTTTCCCCCGAAAAAGCAAAAAAAAACACACAAAAAAACCACAACCCCCCCCCAATAAAAAACACAATTTAAAAAACTCAAACAACAACCGGTTTTCAACATTTCTAGTCCCCTAACAGCTTCCTTTTTTAAAAGGGACTTGAAATCTATGTTTACTGTAACTTTTTGGTTAACCAGTAGTTTTAAGTGTGTATCTATTGAAGAAAGTCGATCCCCGATACGTTGCGTGGATTGTTTTTTCATGTTTTGTTTTTTGACCCTTCAACTTCAAATGCAACTTTGAAAAAAGTAAGTTTTTAGAAAAATGATGTGTTCGTGTATTCGTGACGCCGTAACACAACAACAGCAACAACAACGACAACAACAACAACAACAACAACAACAACAACACACAGCAGGCAAAAACAACGCTATCCATTTCCGGTTGCCATCTCTGTGTACCCCTTGGATCTATCTAGATCTATGGG